TTGCAATACGGATGGCCGATGCGTAATCCCCTCTCCTATCTGTTCCCTGAACAGTCACCTGGTCTGATGCCCGGCATGCCTGGCTACAATGCCAAGTACGCACGGTTGCTCAAAGCTGTTATTGCAGCCATGAACAAGCGCCAGCATGCCATGATCAAACATGCTAACAAGTTGCGCAAAGAAGAGAAATTCAAAGTAGGGGATTATGTTTGGGTTAAAATGTTTGAGTTTTCTGATGAAGAGGGCATATCACGCAAACTCCTTCCATTGTACTATGGCCCCTGGCAGATTCTGAAGGTGATTGGGGATGATTTTGGTCCTTCATATGTGATTGATGTGCCTCCTCATCTGCGCACGTATCCGGTCTTTCATGCGTCCAAACTATTTCCACATATTGATGATGAGACATTTCCATTCCAAGACCCTATGATACCTCGCCCTATCGACGGCGGCCATGAGATAGACCGAATCGTTTCTCACGAGGGAAGAGGGAGGAACAGACAGTACAAGGTTCACTTCCTCTATCACCCGTTGACTGAATTTTTCTGGATCGACTGAAAGGAGCTGCTAAAGAGTGCTCCCCGTGTTGTGAACGCTTATGAACGACAGATCGTTGAGGGACGGACTGCTAAATTCGTTGCAGAAATGACTCCTCACGGACTTACTAAGTCTCTCCTTCTGATCTACTCCTACGATGCATTCTGTGCCAACTCTGATTGAGTTACTCGCTCGAAGGGACCTCACTCTTGAGAGGGGGGTAATGTAATGACCCGCCAAAAACACAGACTGAGAACACTGCTGGTTTCTGGGATTTGCCGTTGGAATGAATCCCTTGTTGAAATTCCCGCATTCTGCTGTGATTTCCATGTCTGTGTGTGTGTGCGTGCCTGCTGGTTTGCATGCCTGTCTGAGTGCTTGACGGTTGAGTGTGTGTGTGACCCGCAAGGGTACTTGTTGGTTGCAAGGCCCTGCAGGGCCGGTACTGACCTGTGGCCGTGACTGTGAAGGGTTGCAGGGGGAAAACACTCGAGTAGCGGGGGTAGGCCCGTGGCACTTAGAGCAGAGGGGAAAAACACTCAAGTAGCAGGTAGGCCGGTACCACTGAAGTAGTGGTAGAAGTGTCGGGTACTGGAGGCCGAGCAGAAGAAGACAAAAAGTTGGCATTTTTAGAGGCCCAGTACCAGTCCAAGTAGCCCGGGTCTAGGGCCTGTGCGGAGGATAGCAGAGCCTGCTATGATGTTTCCCTCCGAAACGGAGGAGGTACCGGTTGCTGGGAGGCCGCTAAGCCTAGGAAGTCACCGCCCAGGAGGCCGGTAGGCCGCTATATCTTCAGGAAGAGCAAAGAGCTCTTCCTCATTTGCAGTGTGCAAGGATTGGCGACATGCTGCTGGAGCGCAGCACTGGTCTGGTGCAGCGCTGCTTGGAGGTGAAGGGCCGCTGGAGCTCAGCCTGGCTATGGCGAGCACTCCAGCTTGAGGAGGAGAGAGAAGGGGGCATGGTAGGAGAGTGGCGGGGCACTTACCTGGCTATGGAAGACACCATCTTCATCACCTTGTTGGGTGCTGCATCTGGAAGGCCCCAGTTGGGGTAGTGCRGCACCAGGGAAGCTCGAGGCAGAGTCAGGCATAGCGGACCAAGTCAGCAGCGGCATAGCTGGGCTGCGTTGTCCTTTGGACATCAACGCAGCACCATAGCTGCTTGGGTTGTCCTTCGGACATCAGCGCAGCACCCTAGCTGCTTGGAGTAGTCCGCCATAGCCTATGCATGAGAGAGGAGGCTGAAGGAGGGAAGCCATAGCTATGGTGGATTGGTTGTTGTTGTTGTTGTTGTTGTTGCGTTGAGTCAGCAGTAAGAGGGAACTTCGGATATTGATTCTGGTTCATCCATTCATTGTTATTATTATTATTGAGTGAAGAATAAGATTGGTGAAGTGAAGGAGGAGGAGGAAGGTGGAGAGAGAAGGGGGAATTGTCATTGGTCTTGCTGGTGTACTTCTTCTTCTTCTTCTTCTTCTTCTTCTTCTTCTTCTTCTTCTTCTTCTTCTTCTTCTTCCTCTTCTTCTTCTTTACCTCTCCTCTGGTCTTTATCTCTTTGCAAGTGTTTTCATTTCTTTCGCAATTGGGTGGCATTGTCTTTCATTGTGAATTTGCACTTGGGAAATGTCCAGGATCGTAACAGCTCCATCTTTTCGCTAGAGGAGCCAGACAACCCTGCAAGCCTTATCTCTCAAGACCGTAGAGCAGAAGGCGCTTTCAGAATAGACAGAATCAGACGGGTCAGAATCAGAGAAGGGGAAAGAAATAGAGCTTACAAACCGGATACAACAATACAACACTTAGAAATAGACCCTACAGAATGGTCATGGAACACCCCCAGATACTTTCGCCTGCAGCTAGGCGATATGCCTTAACAGACTACACACCCAGACTTGGATATAAATTATTCAACAAACCTCAGCCAATTTCAACAATAATAAAAAAAAGATGGGATAAGCATGAGAGCACTCTCGAAGGTTCATTTGTACACCCACTGGCCCACAATCTTCAGCACTCGACCGGCCAAACTGGCCAGCCTCCTGTGGCTCATAGCATCCAGAGCAGTCCCAGTAAATCAATGGCTTGCCCAGAGAAGAAGTAAGGAAAGCAGAACAGACCAGTCAACCTGGTGCAAGGTATTTAACACACAATCCGAGGAATCTCTCAATCATTGTTTCTTAGATTGTGAACACACAAAACAGTTATGGCTAGACATAGAACTCTCATGGAATTCTCTATCCAATAGAAACGTACTCATCAACCCTTCTACCATACTCCTTCACTCAGATCAATCCCCAACTCTAAAAGGTTTCGACTACTTCCTCTTCTCGCTAATCAGAAAAGGCACCCTATGGGCCATATGGAAAAGACGTTGCCATATAACCTTTAACGAACACCACACCCCCTCAGAGACTCCCCTAATTACCATCGAACAGACAATTGAAACAGAAATCCTAGCTCTATGGAAAAAAACCCTAAAGCAAATCCAGATCCTTCCGGACAAAAAGAAGAAAGTATCAAAAAATTCTCAATCGGCAAGCTAGGCAGCGGCAAATTAGGCTCAATCGAACGAGACAGAATAAAATTCTCCAATTGGTTAATCTGGCCCTCATCAACCAGCCAAGGACAAAACCCTAACAACGCGCAGCCTACACCCCATTACACCCCCCAAGCCAACCCACCCACACACATACTAATCACAACAGAAGAGGACACCACCTAAGATCCCCCACATTGTGCATACACACCTCATAAATTCCCAACTCCAACAAAATCCGTTCCCCCCGACTGTAACACAGTCCCTCCCTTACCACATTTATCCTCTCTCCCCCGTCCCTAGCCCATAACCCCAAGCCCATCGACCCAGAATCACAAAACCTTCACCACCGCACAGACCCCCTCAGTCACTCCCCCCCCACACCCAAACTACCCCACATAGAAACCATAGGCATATTCAACAGCTTCAACACAGAAAATTCTGACAGGGACAGCCCATAAAAACACACTACAGTCAACGAGGGTTCAGGGTTTTAGCTTGAGGATTTAGGGTTTAAGGTTTAGACAGAAACAAGGCATACAGGGCTTAGGATGTTAGAGATTTCAAGAGGCTCGTAGGCGTTCCAGACCGCTCTAGCACAACACACCAAACCGGCAGCATCACAGCTGAGCACTAGTTTTTTTTTTATAATACGTTAGTAAGAAGTGCACTCTATGGTATGAAGTTTGCTTGAAATGGCCTTATGGTTTTCTTATAAATTGAGGTGAAAAATGGGGGGTCGGTTAACCATCTCTCGGGGGAATAGGAACCGGACTGTCGCTCCCCAGAATGGTAGGAGCCAGAACCAAAAGGTTTTGTTTAAATT